TAAAATATGTTTGTTTGTGGAAAAGTTATACCTTTTACTATACGAAAAGACTCTATGTCTATGTGAGAAATTTTTGTCATCCACGTCATGTTCATGAGTGATTTTCAAATCGGATTAGACACTTTAGAGAGTGAACGTTCGCGTATGCGAACGAAATTTTTATTCCTCATCATTCAATTTTTCCACTAATAATGATGCATAACAATTTTATTTTGTACGTAGAGCGTTCAAAAAGTTCCCGGATTGATTTCTTTTTACAGAAAACAAAAAGCTGAGCATACTTTTATCTTAAAATAGTTTCTGAAAAAACTTCTGAAATTTTCCAAGTTACAACGCATGTTTTGAAGTACAGGTTAAAAAGTACAAATTTTATGAGCAAGAAAATTCTCTCTCTAAAAAGTGTACTTTGAGACTAATTTCATCATATTTTACCCGACTTTCTCTTCGGGAACATGATGCAATTCATCTCAGGTTCAACCAGAGATTGAGCTCAAAATAAGTACACAGTAATTTTATTCACATCTTTTAACTCTCTCTTTTAATTGTTGTGCACTTTAAAGTTATCATTTAACTAATTCAATTTTTCGTATCACTTTTATATATACGTGTGTCTTCACTAGACTTCATGCAAATAAGACGTATATACAAACGTATAAAATTTCTACTTTTTAACCTGTACTTCAAAACCTGCGTTGTAACTTGGGAAATTTCAGAAGTTTTTTCAGAAACTATTTTAAGATAAAAGTATGAGTTTAAATTGCTACTGGTGTTTGAAGTATTCAAGAAACGTATTTGATAATATCCTGAACATTCTAATTATTTCTTGCGCTAGAAAAAAAGCTCGTAAATGCTTCTCCTTTTAAGTACGCCAATCTAAAATACTTCTGTTTTATTTATTTTTGGAAAATTTACTTTACTCAACATTTTACTCAGAATTTAATTCTCTATCGATCTCGACTACTTTCGACAAAATGTGTTTTCCGAAGTTTTCAAAAAGGCTAGTTTTCTAGAAAATCACTCTGGAAAACTCTAAATTTTCTGAAAGTGTTTTCTCAAGAGTCAGCCCTCATTTTTACCTAGGAATCCATATTTTCCGCTTTGTATGCTGAAAACTGACTAACTTATTCAGAAATCACCTGGCCGATTTGGCGCCAAACTCATTGATTTTCAATGGTTTGCAAATATCTTAGCAACAAAAAGGAATTTCAAAAAAGCGAGCTATACTTTTTATCTTCGTTTCAAGGCGATTCTTTTGGCGTATAGATGAGCGATAGTCCTTAATGAATTATCATGTGTGGGCGCATAAGAAAAGACGTGATTTCGCTCGTTCAATGTACGAACCTTTTGGAAAAGTCAATGCGACTAACGGTATATAGTTTTGTTTAGCATTTCTTTCACGTATAGTTTGCAAGTTTCAAATGAGTTGCATCTGTTTAGATCTTTAAAGACACCTCTGATAACTTTTTTTTATGTTAACTGCCTGTGTTTCTTGTAGGTATTAGCCGTCAATATCTTGGGCAGGTTTCTTTTGAATAGCGATAAAAACATACGGTAATTACTTACCGAGAAAAAAAGCCATGTGTAAATTTCGCTTTTTGGTGTAAATTTGGCAATGGAACTATGTTTTGCATTAACCAATTCAAATAATATTCGCATGATGATAAATGAAATGATTGGATTCTTAGCTATTTGTGAAATAGATTTTAAAGCTGATTGCACATCAAACATGTTTCTTGTAATGGAACGGTAAACATCACTGAATTCTCAGTGCTTACTGTCCTTTAAAAGAATTTTTTAGCAGTAGTTTTTGATATTGGTTATGAACTTCATATTTCCTTGCTTCCCATGAAGCTTCTTGCCCTGTTTTCAAAAAATCATGTCTTGGGAGATTCATACTGAACTTTTGATACGATCAGGTTGGAGAGTAGTGCGACTGAGACATGGGGAAAAGGTTTGCTTTCTAACGATTAAGTTATTACTGACGAGTGAGTGAAAAACTGTTTTTAGCCAAAAGATAATGGGACAATTGAGTTAGATTCATCGCCAGCAGAATTTTCGATTAGGAGGGGGGGAATTCCCTCCCTCGTTTGAAACTCGGAGTAAGTGGTCTCCGAGTAAGTGATTTCGGAGTAAGTTACTCCAAAATCACTTACTCCGAAATCACTTACTCGGAGACCACTTACTACGAGTAACTCGAACTCGGAGTTAGCAATCTTGAAGTAGATCAAAGGCCCGGAGTAAATAAAACGGATTAAGTAATGTTCTGGTAAAGTAAGCTAAAAGTATGTTAATAATGAGATCATAAACACGAATTTTGTCGTAGTTAATAGCTTTAAAAGCAGTTTACGAAACACATTTATTATAGCTATGACATAAAAGAATCGAAAAGACCTATATTTAAGGTTCAGTTTATCAATTAAAAAGGAGATGCGGTATTTGTAAATTGTTATATTTTTCTCATGTGAATCAGTGAATATGATAAAAAGGAAAAGAAACGAAAATTTTGTCTTAATTTTAAAATTTGACTTAATTTCTTTAATGATAAGCGAAGAGGAGTTTGTTTCACATAATGTCGTCTAACTATCTATGTAACCAAACGGGAAATTGTCCTGTATGTCAAGAGGTTCTAATGGTTCAAAATTTTGAAAGACATTGTAACAATAAACATACACTATTATCATCTAATGAACGTCGCAACGCTTTGAAAACTTTAAAAGAAGAATGTTCAAGAAAATGTACAGCAAAACAAGCAAATTCATCTAATATACGTGATTTTTATTTTGCAAAAAAACCTCGTATTTCATCAACAGATCCAAAAGTACTAAATGACAATAATAGTGAAGTTGTTAATCCAGTTATTAACAACACATTAGCAAATACTAATGAAGTCAGTGCATCTGATGATGGTTCAATAACAATAACAAATTATTTTAATATTAATAATTATGATACATCTGTGGACAAAAGCATTAACAGCAACAACTTCAACGATGATACAATAATTAAGAATACTTTCTATTTTTCTGCAAAGGATTAATAACCTTGCAGCTTGCGTGCAGTTGTTATAGTTTATACAAAAACGTTATAGTTTATCTTTTAAAAACATAGAGAATTTTACTGCGTCACGTTTCATGTTTCCTCTGTTATGTAAAAGATTTCCAGAGATACTAAATGCGCTCTCTGAAGCTACACTAGCGCATGGAATGCATAGTACACATTTTGCTGTCATCATTTAAAAGAATCCTTTCGTTTACTATAAAATGAATCTTATTTCGTTGAATTGTTAGTGCTTGAAAAATTCTTTTTCGGTTCTAAGCTGAGAACCGAGAACCGCGATTCTGTTCTAAGTCGGGAACCGGAACCGCGGTTCTTTTCGGTTCGATTCTGACTCGAGAACCGAGAACCGAACATCCCTACTCAACACCAATATCCAAAAAATTTTAAAAAAACGATATAGAACTTTGTGAATTGGGATTTGTTAAACCACACTTGTGATCATATACCATTGATTACCAGACATTTGACGCGCGACACTTGGGCGCCGACATTTTAGTGCATGTACGACAAAAGCATTCAGTAAGAGTGATTTGTTAAAGTATGATACATAACGATAAAAGTTTATTTAAACAAACTTGGTACAGTGTGAGAGCATTTCTATATTACTCATATCCAACTGTAATCACTGTTTGTTTAATCTACATCGATACTCACACTGACAGTCACCCGCACCGGCGCCTTTGAACTTAAACTATCATTGCGCCCAAATGTCAGTATACCGAACAATCGACAAAATAATTCCACATAAGTCCTTAACTGTGAGACCGCGGGGCAAAGTATCGTTTAGTAAAGAGTTACGCGTCCTGTATAATAAAAAATGTAACTTATTTGGAGAAGAGAATGATCAGATGCAGCAGTGCAAAACCATGAGATCGTTGCTAAAAATTTTCAGACTACTTGTGAAAATGCTACACAAAAGCTTTTTTCGAATTTAAACTCACGTACTGCTGCGTCGTCCAAAAAATGGTGGTCGCTAATCAACCACGCTTTAGGAAGGGACAAAAATCCATCTATACCAGCTCTGTGTGACTCAAACAAAACGCTTGTAACTGATTCATTAGCCAAAGCAGAACTCTTGAATAACAACTTTGCAAATATTTGCACATGGGTTGAATCCACTATACCTTCCACCGCAGCTAGTAATTTGGTTGGTACAAATGCTGAGTTAAACTCAACGTTGTCGCCATTACCGACATAAGTAACATATTAAAAAAATTAGATTGTAGTAAATCTTCAGCCCTCGGTACTAACACAATTCTAAAAAACCTTGAACCATCACTCGTTGAGCCTCTTATCAGTATCGTAGATCAGTTACTTGTTTCTGGCGACTTTCCGTCCAACTGGAAAATGGGATATATAAATGTCATCTTCATATTAGAAGATCCTACCAATATGAATAATTACAGATCAATAACGTTACTCCCAGCAACGTCAAAAGTCGGCGAGAAAGCTGTGCATAGAAAGGTATATGATTACTTAACAAAAAGCAATTTGCTAAAGGTACATCAATAGGTTTTAGAAATAAATATAGTACTACGTATCTACTATTAGAAATGGTAAATATAATCAATGAAGGAATGAAAAAGGACAGGTTTGTTACGGCAGTGCTCTTAGACTTCAAGAAAGCCTTTGATAATGTTAGAAAGTTTGCTACTAAAATTGGAAAAGAAAGTATAAAAGGAAAAATGTTACAATGTTTTCGAAGCTATTTGAGCGAAAGAACAATAAGAAGTGTTATAGAAGGTGTATCATCCTTTTTCTATTTATCCTTTTTCTTATTTATATTGATGATATTACGCTAGACATTGAGAGTAACATAAAGCTGTTCGTAGATGATATAATACTGCTGGAACATGGGGAGAACGTAACAGATACAACAAATACACTTAACAAAGACTTGGGAAAAATTAAAGAATGGTCGGATAAGTGGTATATTCCACTTAGTTTCGACAAATGTGAATCAATTACTTTCTCAAACAGATATTACTGCACACAGGCTGACAGCTTGCGACTGCTCTTCTTGGATGAAGAAGCACTGAATAAACTGCGTGAAGTGAAATATACAGGACTATATCTGTCACCGGACATGACCTGAAATTTCCATATTGACAAACTGTGTAAGCGAGACCGTTCTGTGTTACAGTTAATGACACTTCATAGCTGAATCCTATGTAAGAATACACTAGATATCATAAAGCCTATATCTTGTCTCTGTTCAATTACGGCGAATACTCCTTAATAACTCAAACAAACCTTCAAAAACTAGAGTCAACTCAATATTCAGCCGCTCAAACAGTTCTTGGTTATTATGAAGGATTCATCCGGAACGCGTGCGTTACAAATCTTAGGATGGTCAACGTTGCACAGGTCAAAAACATAGGACATAAATGGCCTGTTAATGAAATGGCATTTCATTTTTTGGAAGCCGAGCATAGCTGTATGCAGACCAAGGTTTAGACCAAAACTGAAAAACTTTCTTTTATTCCAGAATAGTAGTCCACCATTTTGGAGTGGCATGTATTCCAGAAATTTTGTACCCATTCCAGAATGTGCTTTTTACCCCTTGAAACTATATAAGTCATCGAAACTTGTGTTGAGGAAGTAGCTACTGGTTTTAGGTATGGTGCCAGTGATGGTATCGATCATACCTAGGGAATCAAAACTACTCAAAAATGTGAAAAGCTATTTATTTCCTGATAGTGGTCAGAAAGAAATTAGTCATGATCAACAGTTGATCCTCGGCCATAAATAGCCAATAGTTACCCAAAAATGGCCATTAAACGGTTATTATTAAATTCTTGTTGTCAGCCTGTTTCTTAACCTTTAAAAAAACTGTCACTTTTAGGCATTAATACGTTCCGAGTATAATGCCGAGAGATGACAAAAAAATGGTGTTAACTAGCTGAAAAATGTCATTTAAAACACATTTTGTGGGCTGTTGATAGATATTTAATAGATAATAAATTACACCGTTTTTAACGTCGTAAGTGAGAGAACATTTCCAAATACTTTGTTTATTTACCTTGAGTAAAATAATGCGCGATATGACTCCTTCATATATAGCTGAACGTCTTCGCCGGTATCCAATAAATAACCATTACCATTTACGTAGTAATGATCGAGAAATTTTCAAAGCTACAGGCAAGCATGATTCTTTTTTCACACATTAAAAGAATTGGAGTTTTTACCTATAAATGAACGTATGCTAAAATCGTACAAATTAAGCGCAGCTTTGTTTGCAAAAATAAATATTTTACGACCACGTAACGTTATCAAACACATTGAGTTTTCTTGAAGACTTTTGGAAAAGGCTTTCATGCGTCTTAGAGCAGGTTTTCCTAAATTGACTTATTACTTGCCTGAAAAACAATGTGTACCATCCTCTTATTGTCTTTGTGGATAGACAGAAAACAATTGATCACTACCTTTTCAATTGCCCGTTACACCTCCAACAAAGAGTTACGTTATTTAGAAAACTATCGCTTATATCATGCACGTTAACGTCATCGTTTTTACTTCTTTGGGAACATACTCGTACACAACAAAACAAGACCTGTCTAATTGTGAACGTTGTGGCTCAATATATAAAAGAAACTCAACAATTCTAGGACCATCGTCTCGACTTTTCTTTTCTTTTTCCATTTTAATCAGCTACACCGCGCGGCAAAGAGTAGCTTCGAGCTGAAGAATCGAAATTGAATCAGTTCCATCCCTTTGCTTTGTGATATTTAATACCCTCCAGTTCGCCTTCAGTCATCTTCTCATTTTGTTTATTGTCGGGTTATTGCTTTTTTGTGTTTTTTTGTATCTGTTTTAGTATTCTTTATCTCTTTTTCTTTATCCTCTCTTCTAACAGATATGCTTATAATGAGTATCACGCTTGATAGTATGTATGTCTTTTCTCTTCAACAAAATAAAGTTTAAAACAAGACTTATTTTCGTAAAGTGGTGCACCTCGTTTTTCAGTCCTTTTAGCTGGAGGGACCGAAAGTTGACGGTTTGAAATGGGGTCTTTCAAGACGGATGCCATGTTCAAAGAAGAAGATAGGTATTGAGTTAAATCTTTTCCCATTACATTAGGCAGCTCTTCAGTTTCATTTTCATCTATAATAAAAGAACTTTTCGTTTTGTTTGCGTTCTCGAGAGATAAAATACTCACTGTCGTTCTCTCATTATCAGCTATTTTGTGACAGCTGTCATATCCCTAAGAGAGTAGTATGAGAAGCTTTTAATATCGGCACTTATACTACTTGAGCCGCTCTTTGATGTGGTACGGTGAACAGCGGTGTTAGCTCTGGCGATGCAGAAAAAACGAGGTCAAAGTTGCTTCATTATAGGGAGGGTCGAAAGTTGACATCCCAGAGAACTTAACGCCACTACACTTTGTAAATTGTTTTATCAACAGAAGATGTTATAAAAGCATTTCTTCTTGCACACTTTTTTCATGATATATTTAACAATCTATATTTATTTTTGCACTACTATTATAAGTTGAACGTATTAATAAACACAGTTCTTTTTAAATTACAGACATATGTTCAGAATAAAGTATTTTTTAATGCTTAAGTAGAATGGAAAAGAAAAAAAACAAAAATAAGAAATAAAAAAATTACACATTTTGTTTCGCAGTATGTGTTTTTTGATAATTTTACAATCAACCGTTGTATATATGTAATTTTTTTGTCTCGCCTCTATTGCTAAAAAGAGAAAGCACGGCAGTCACTGAAACAGAAAATGACTAATTTCCATAAATATCAAGTAGTGATTATCGGTGCTGGAGTTGCCGGTTTAACATGTGCAAAACATTTGATTGACAATGGCATCGATGATTTTATTATATTAGAGGCGGATGAACAAATTGGTGGTAGAATAAAAACATTGATATTGGGTATTTTCTAAGGACAATATGATTTGTTGAACTATCATTTTTTCCTATTTTCAAAGAGGATCATGTTTTTGATTTGGGAGCACAGTGGATATATGGAAAAACTAGTAATCCAATATACGACTTAGCCGAAGACAATAATTTAATCGATGATGTTGATAGTAAGATCGATTCATCTCTCTGTTTTCTATCTGTGAGTTTATGAACACCTTTGTAGCTGACTCGGATGAAAAAGATGATTATTTTCATGATCAAGATGGTGAATCCATTGATGAAGATCTCGTTGATGAAATTCAAAATGCTTATGATGAAATTATCGATAAAGTCAATAGTTATCCTGTCAAACATTATCCTGATTTGTCACTAGGAGAATTTATTTGTGCAGAAGTTGATAATTATTTAGTAAAGCATCGAGATGATATTAATAGGTCTAAACAAGTATTCGATTGGCTTATGAAAGAGGAACAAGCGAATATTGGTTGTAATCGATTAACCGATGTTTCAATACAAGGTTCATTTCATTATTGCTCCTCTTTGATTACGAAAAATACATGTCTCACTTTTAGGTTGGAATGCCTATGAAGAATTTGACGATAAACAAGAAATTAATTTAAAATATGGTTATTCTCAATTACTGACTATTCTAATGAAATCGATTCCTTACGATAAAGTTAAACTAAATACAATTGTTAAACGAATAGAGATTGGAGAAAATGATGATGAATATGTAGAAGTCGAAACAATAGATAGCAATAACGAAATAGTTTCAGAACATTACCATTCAAAATATGTTGTTTGTACGATGTCGCTTGGTGTATTGAAACAAACGATAAATCAGCTGTTTCATCCACCTTTACCACAAGCGAAACGAACAGCCATACAAAAACTTGGATTTGGTACGGTTGATAAGGTAAGAATTACAAACATCGAGATGTTTATTATTCATTTATGACATTTTTATTCAGATTTTTTTGGTTTTTGAAAAATCATTTTGGGATGCCGACTATAACTCATTTCAATTATTATGGGACAATAGTATTTCATGGACATTAAAGGTTTTACAAAATACAAAATTTAATGTAAGCATGATCATGTTAGTTGTAATCGATATAGATATTTTTAGTTTTATAGAGTGAATGGTGTAAAAATATTTATAGTTTCGATGTAGCTCGAAAACAATCAAATGTTTTAGTTACATTTATGTCTGGTGAAACAGCTAAATATGTTGAAAATATGCCAGATGATTTGTTAGCATACGCATTTCAAGAACTATTAAGCCGATTTTTTACAGATTTACAGGTTCCCGTACCCATAAAAATAATCAGGTTAGGAATGTCAAATTATTTCTCTTTTCCACTAAATAAGCCTTATTCTCAATAACAGATCACAATGGAACAATGATCATTACATTCAAGGCTCTCATACATTTATCAAGATCGGTTCAACAACTAACGATATTAAATCTTATGCATTTCCGGTTCTAGATAAAAAAGTAAGTTGATAATTTTTTTGAATCATATCTTATATAATTCATCAAATTTTGAGTCTGAAGAAATAAGTCTTCTATTAATTTCTAGAATTCTCCGTTAATATTATTTGCGGGTGAGGGAACACATGAAAAATATTATTCAACAACTCATGGCGCATACTTATCAGGCATAAGAGAAGCACAACGTATTATTGAAGATTTCACAAATTACTGAATATATGGCTTTATCTTAGAAACAAAAATATTGTCAATCATACATAATTAATTTCGACTACATAGTGGCCACTATTATTAAGAACGCTTAGTACTTGAAAGAATAAAGAAAAATTGTTTCAAACTAATATGAAGTTTTCTGAAATAAAATTTTTTGAAATGAATGAAAGACTTTTGTTAGTTACGAGATATGTGATATATTCAATTTCGAAAACTAATAAAAATCTGAACGATATTCTTATATATCGTGAAAACTATACGTAGCTGTGTTCAAAAAAATTTTTATATTAAAATTCGTACCATCCATTTCTCTTTACCACAGCGCAAATGTCACTGACTGTATGCAACAATATTCTGTCGAAGATTTATATTACAAACTCAGAAGTCCAATTTTCCAGTATGTATGATCCTAGTCATGTACTGAGTGCAAGGTACCCAAACAAGTACCTTTCTACTGGTAATATCACAAGTGCCCGAGAAATGTTTGATTTTTGGGTACTTAAGATACTTTTTGAATATCTATTGAAGTATTCTGGTGTAGTAAGTATATTTTGGTATTTGACTGTCTAAAAGGGTATTCTGGCGACATATTCTCATATAATCAAGGCACGTTTTAATTAATTTTTAAATAGGCTATCTGGCAGTGGTCATTATGGCATTTTTGTGTAGCAGATAGACAACGATAACACAAGGAAACCAACCGTTCAAAATATCTAAACATTGTACAAGCTCATCTATGCTTTTTAACGGATGTTTCCAGTGCGGAGACTAGAGCAAATCAATGAAAATACGAGATTTTGTATAAAACTACTTGCTTTCTCTTACTGTGTTAAACCTGTTTTGTTTTGTTCAAGTTAGATGTGGGCAATGTTCACACAATAGAAAACCAATCATAGGAGATAGTAAGGCAATTGCAAACATTTTTTTCAACCCTTATCGCGTGTAATTAGCGTAATTCATTTAACTTCAAGTTTTTTTTCGGTTGTCTTGCAGAAAGGGAAGTGTAAAAATTTTCTTTAAGCCAGTCCAAAAATCTTCGAAAACTGGCTGCTCAAAATAGTTCTTCCGCAATTTTTGCAATTAGTTCGTTGTACAAAATACTATCTTGCAGTTCAATTGCAGGACGAAGGACACTTATCAAAAACTATTGCCGACAACAAAACGTAGAATAGGTTTTCTATATAATCGAAGTGAAATTGCAATACATCTATCGTTAGAAAAAGTCCGTGTGATCAAAAATAAAATTCGTCAATTATTCACTCAAAGTTAGAAAGTAAGTATAACGACAGCTTTCTTACTTCGATTTTTTGAATCAATTCAATATCACTCAAAGATCTCAAGTTTTTTCAAGAACCCCTGCTTTTTACTTTTAAGAAAAAGCTTGTCTCTTATGCAAAAGCAAGTGTACTATTTCTTTTTTAGCGTTTTATTGGTTACTTTTCAAGCAAATGTCTTCTAGTAGCCCGGGTGACTTATAACAGATATCTAATAGCCTATCAACTGACAATTAACTCGATGCCTTAAAAATGTCCTTAAACGACACTAAACTATTAAAAAACTGGCTATTAATGTCGTTGTTAGTTATTGACACATCTATCGATGAACTGTTCATAGTGGTTCTGTGTTCGATGCTAGTGACAGCACTGTGAACATAATTAACCAAAAGTATCGAAAACTTGAAAAGAATTTTTTTAACTAGCTCTCAAAGAGAATCAGTTTAAGGGCCCTCCTCAGAACAAAACTTTCTAGTCTTACATCCAACTCTGATGCCACATTCAGCAAATGTTCGCCATATCACAGTAGGGTTATGAAATTTTGTTTTCTTCGCTATCTCTTAACGTTCCGGGGTTTTATAGAGTCCAAGGTCAAAAACCGACCCTCCACTGTGGGACACTTTTTTTAAATATACTTCAAGCTAAAGATCTAGGGTTTATTTTATTTTAAACTAGACACCTAACTGTGTGGGCTGGTGGGACCAAAGTTTTAATTTAGACCTTCGTTCGTTTTCCAGAGATCCAAGATCCTCAAAACCCGAAAAATTCTTTCGTATTTTTCAGAGATTTTCTAAAAAACTCAGGTCTAATTCAAAAATCCGTTTCCATCAGCCCACGCAGTTAGGTGTCTGGTTTAAAATAAAACCAACCTGAGATCTCTAGCTTGAAGTATATTTAAAAAAAGTGCCCCCCACTGCGCATGTTCGAACAAACAACGTGTTTTGAGAGAAAACACGTGCATTCGTTGATTGAACAGAAAATTTATTATCCAAAACAGAACTTCCTCATTTGAAATAAAACAGAATAGTTGATGATGTGTATATATTTTTTGTTTGATGCAGCATTTGAGCAGCATCCTCTCGCGAAACAAATTAAACGAACAGTTTTTTGACCTTTTTGGATTGATTTACAGAGAATTCTTTTATCTCTCCCTATCTGAAAAAATGAATAAAATCTGAAAAGATTTGTATCTATCATATAATGGCACGTAGAAGTTGACAAGAATATTTTAAATCCGCAAACGAGATTGATCTTTTGAATTGTACAAGAAAGGAAAATGTGTATAAAAGTCGAACCTTTCAAACGGGATCACCAATTTCGTTTAAGTATTCAAAATACAGAGGTTACACATCATGTCAATTTTACTTGTCAAAAAAGGTTAAATTTGTCAAAGATTGAATTGCTAAGATATTTCTCGACATATACAGTCGACTATGTTGTATGTGATATGTAACTATGTGATTTTTTGCTCGGAATAAAGAGTAAAACATAAAGATTTAGAAGATGTATCACGGGATAGATGCGAGAAACATGGTTCAGGTAAACACCTTGTATATATACACCTACATAAGTCAGACGTCAAGATAAACAACCGGGGTCAATACAGCAGAAATCTTAAAAAAGATAAATTTTTTTCCTAAATCAAAACTGTAGAACAAATTAAGTCGACAAAATGAGAAATGATCACAGAAACAGCATGCTTTTGATCTCGGTTGACAAGATTTTGAAAAAAAACATGGAAAAGATCTCGTTTATGAAAACTAAATCTTTTTATAGCCTAAAGCATGAAAAAGATAACGGAAAAAAGCATGTAATATGTATTGGTTCATCTATATGATCAGATAACATGCTTTAGATCTCGGAAATTGTACATACCGTTCAGTGAAGTAGCAATGTAGTTGGTCGAAATGTAAGCAGAGTTTGAGAAGAATATCAACGTATTTACTAAGTATGTACATGTGATATAATACAGTCATCAAGAAAACGTATTGCATCATTTTATAGTCTATGAACTTCTTTATATTCGCATACACATTTTTACTTAATGCTACGCTGTAATACTGAAATGTCTCGCAAAAATTGATTAGTAATTTCTACAATTGTTACTTTATCAAAGACTAGTAATCCAATATGCAGTCTTTTCTATCTATTCTCATTTTTGGTTACTAGTCTTCCAATATTTATTGAAAGACTAGTATAATTAGATGGAGAATAAAGTCAGTTTGTTCACTCGAAGTATTGCGAGATCTAAAGCATGTTTATCGTAGCGTACGCTTAATTAGACTTTCGTCTTGATCTAATCAATGATTTCGCCATAAAAAAATTTAGTTTTCGTAATCGAGATCTTTTACCTGAACTTTTTAAAAAATTTGTCAATGAGGATCGAAAGAATATTATTTCCATGATCTTTTAAATTCACGTCCAAATTAAATAGGATTTCCCGGGATCAAATATATTTATGTTCTGCAAAAAAATTGAAAAAAATAGTTAAAGATAAGCAAATCACGCTAATTACACAATTAGAGTCGAAAAAAATGTTTGCAATTGACTTTACCGTCTCTACTCTATAAGCTTCGCACAAATAAAACAGATATTGTTTCTTTTCTTCCGTGTTCGCCATTCAGAGAGTGAGTGTATAAGATTTTAGTGCTGTTGTAACTTTTTTTCATTGCGTCAAGCTGAGCTGCTTGACTTGTCAATAGACACGAGTTGATATTTCTTATTTCTTGTTAGAATGCATTTAATTAGTTTGTACTTTTATTTTGAGAGTTTTACAACTTAAGGAGTGTTATCTTAAAAGAGTAAATGTATCGAAACATTAGATGTTTGTCGTTAATTATAGTTGATAGCGTACCCATAGACATATGCAGCAGTAATGGGAGACAAGGAGCGCAAATATTCCATATTTTACCGTAGCCATACTCGACTTGTGAGTGCCCCTAAGTCTTTTTTTGAATGAAAAATGTAAAAGAACAATCTTTTTTTTAATATTTAGCTATAAACTACGACTGTGTGTGTTTTGTTCGATCTACATCATTTTTCTTTACGAAAAAAAGAATATAATCTATATTTAATATATGTATGGTGTATGAATTGAAATAATGCACAGTTCTGACTATTTCTTTTCTCGCTCAGTGTTGTTACCTACTATGATCTCGTACAGGGCCATAGATTATATGTAGCTGAGAATCTGAATACTAGACATATATAAAATGAAAAAGGTTCTAATATAACGGAAGTTTGAGAAAGCATTAGATAATAGCGAATATCAAATTTTTTTGATTTATTTGTCTTGTTTGTTGAGCACAATTGTTCATCATGATTGAACTTCACAAACAGCGTATGTTCTTGGCACGCTATCTAGTCTAAATTTATCTCGTTGTTATGTTCTTTCGTTTCCATCTTCAAGTAGTCAACACTTCATATTCTTCTTGGAATTTCACTTCTTCTCTTGTTTTAACATAGTGAATTTGTAATCATATTTGAAAAATCTGAGTATGCCAGCCACACATTCAAAACGATGTAAAGAAGAACGCCAAGTTATTTATACACGTTCGAAACAAAAACGTTTAGATGCAGATGATTCATCGAATTTACCATTCGATAAGAATAAAGAAGAAAAAGGTGTTTTAATTGGTGCCCTACGCTCTCTAGGTAGCATAATACCAACAAACGCCTAGTATGAAATGCTTGCGATGTTCTATCGAGCTAATAAAACAAAATGTATCCATGATTCTTCATCGGATATTCTATCTATACCAATTTCAATGCAAACACAACTTGTTATACCAGGGATCGAACATTGTCTCTGGACTATGATATAACGACAACGAACAATACCGTATTAACAATTAATGTGCCAGTATTTGATACAACTCATACTACAGCGGCTATTGATACAAATGATTTGCTAAAAAAATTATTAACAGAATAAATTCATTAACAGTACCTCCAACGGATGCAGCAACGGCATCAACGCCAGTCAATTCAACTGATTTACAAGCAGTGCGTGAATTTACGTGCAATTGTACTGGTAAGCCAATGGAGAATAATTTTGTACCACCTGTCTGTTTAGAACTACTAAAAGACTTACTGAGCACAAAACGTGTCAATAAATATAGTGTTTTCTTATCATCACCACCTAAAGCATCGATTCTGTTCAGAAAACACATCAATCTTGCGTTATTACCGTTGCCATGGAACGGTTCACAGCATAAAGATTATCAACCAGATGCAGATTACAATGTAGCTGTTTTAAAAATCCGTCAGATCCTCGTTTGAAGAAAAATTTATCTCTTGCAGAATTCCTTGTAGCATTTTCACGATAAAGTCATCGAACTACCCTAGCCACCACTAAAGACGCATATCTCGTGTATTGCATCGACTCATAATACAAATTTTTTTCTTACATAACGGTCAAATAATCTACCGAGGAAAAAACACCAATGCATTGCTGTTGAGTCTCTCACCATTCTCTTCATTTTGAGCGACAAGATGTCGTACACGATTAGGGAATATGAGAACGAAACGAAAAGGAATATATACGTCCGTCTTGGATATCGTCTGTCCTGACTCTTGCGTTTGGTGATATGTACATCCCAGATTCTGCGTTCGATAGCCTTGTCTACACTACAAAAGATAAAGGAGCTTTAAGCAATTCTACTGGCTGAAAGTTAATTTATCTTTTGTAGTGTAGACAAGGCCTGCAGAAAAATTTCTTAGCACACTACCTCAATAGCTTATCCTGACCATTTCTCACATGTTTTTTCGTCTTTTTCGCCATGCTAATGGTGCGACAGAAAAAGAAAAAAAAACGTGTTTTATTGTGTTTATGTGTCAAAACAATAATAAGGAATAAAAAAGGAAGACGTTAGATACTAAGCGCAATTCGATACAAATAATATTAACTGTGCAATTTCGCTTTCTTTCTCTTTAATCTTCTCTATCAGTAATTAATAGTCTATATAGGCTACGCGCATTAGAAGAAAAAAAGACGTTTAAACAGAACAAAAATAATAAAATTCTAAATTTAACTGTCAGGCTCATTGAAAAAAGTCATGTTTGTTCTTGCAATTTGCTCTCTAGATTGGATCTATGACTGTTATTGTTAGTATATAGATGGATACAGTTTATGTCTCGTCTAATTGCAACAAATATTTGACCGATCACACATTTCTTCTTGTTTTAACATCAAGATCATTTCCGGCTGATGTTGGTTACAAAACAAAAATTCATTATAAAGTCGGACAATGTGAATGGGCATGTGGTGAAGCTGAATATTTTCGTAGTGGAGGAAGACAGAGTGAAGTTAAATGTTATTGGCGTCTAAAAATTCAAACAACTTTGGATTGTGATTCAGTAGATACGACTGGTAGTGGTGAAGTTTATTATGAAATTGAATATAATAATCGATTATATGGCAGTATTGTTCGACATCGTATTGCATTAAATGCCGGTGTAACATTTTATGAACCTTATAAATTTTTATCCTATGAAGTAGATCAATTTTATGCTGATGATGCTCAAACGTTGACTATAACGGCGGCTGTTAAAAATTTGCGTATTGATGATGATGTACTTGTGCACTATTCGTCGGATAATTGGAAAACAGTGCATGATCTTAAACTCCATCCATTCTTTCGAAATTCAACTAACGGTGGGTCACATCAAGATGTTACTCTATTATCATCTACATTCAATATTTCGACTGATACAAATATAGTTGATTATGCCTTGTGTTGGAAAAAAGAAGGCTCGGTAATGTGGGATAATAACGATGGTGCTAACTATCGTTTAAGACGAGGATTTAATTATAAAATATTGACATTGAATCTTCATTGTTATCAAGAAGATAATCAAGATCATAAACTGACATTAATAGCACAATCAATTAATGAATTAAATGTTGACATCATCTGTTTACAAGAAGTGGGTGAGGATTGGAATGAGGGTAACGGAAACTGGCCTACAAATGCTTCAAAGATTATTCAAGATAGAATTCAACGACCAACATTCTTATATTTTGATTGGGCACATCTGGTAACTGAAACTTTTCTCTACAACACTTCATTTTCACCCAGATGCTCTAAGCGCTTGCTTTGAACTGACGAGAGACATTTGAAAATTTGAGAATATAAGACGTAGTTTGTATAAAAGATTTTTTGTTTTAGGGCTTTAATCGTTACCGAGAAGGTTTGACGATAATTAGTCTTTGGCCATTGTTAAAAACAGAATCACGCTATGTATCGGCAAGTCAAAATGTATTTGATTTTAATGCACGAAAAATTGTTATGGCATCTATTATATTACCATCAATTGGTTTAATCAATATATTTAGTGTACATTTATCATGGATAAAAGAGGGTTTTTTATTTCAAGTTGATCATCTTCATCAATGGGTAGAATATTTACATTACAAAACACAAATAAATGGCATGCGTCCTATATCAAGTATATTAGCAGGTGATTTTAATGTCTCAGTTAAATCCAGTGGCCAAGAAAGAATGGTAGCATTAGGTTTAAATGATTTATTGGCTGACAGCATACATCTCAGTGATAGTTTTGAAAGAATTGATTATATATTATCGCTTGAAAAGCCAACTATGTTCAATGTTTCGCAAGCTATAGCCATATTTACGCCAAAAGATTATGGTTATGTCTCAGATCATGTGGGATACTATGTGACCATAACAAAAAAATAATCTTCGTAGAAAATTGAAATAGCTTCATTTTATACTCTCTGTGATAATTAGATTAATTGTTCAAAATAACATTTTCAAATGTTCGATACAAAAATTAAGTTTACAAGTTTTAGAACATTATCGTCTCGATAGACAGATAGATATTTTTTTTCCGTATATATTTATAGAGATTTTATTAGCTTTGGAAACGACGCTAGCTGTTCAATTTTTACAAGCGTATGAAATACAGTGGGAAAAGTTGAGCATATGATCATGTTTTATTCTCCTATCTGAATCAGAGTTGCCGCCTATACAAGTCAGAAATCCAGAATCATGATACTAAAATCCGGAAACAAAACGGAAACCCATTTTCACTGCCTTATTTAACCTTTTCCTACTGCGCAGAGTGCCAAAAAAGGTTTCTTCTCTAGTTCTATATGATTCACTCGATAAAATACAAGAAAATAGCAAACATAAATAGAAATTTCGATTTTAATCGACATGCTGTTTTTTGAATGTATATTTTTGATCCGAAAAGTAACTGGTACTTTAGCTCGCCTGTAATATGAGAAAGGCAATCTCCACAAACTATAGATACAAAAACCACTTAAACTCTTCATGATCAGGGAAAAACAGCCAAAAGCAGAAAATTCTTAAAATTCGGACAAATTCCGAAAAAAACTCCAAAAATCGAAATTTATCCGGACAAGGTGGCAGCTATGGTCTGGACTATTAAAATGCTACTCGAACAAGAAATACTGCATGTGAAGAGCAAAATCTCAGCATTACTTTAAAAAAGAGATTTTAGAAAACTATTTAGTTTAATTTGCATTTTATAACTTTAACGTTGTTTATTAACTCTAGTTATTTAACATTCTCGTTGGTATAATTTTTTTATCGGAATGGCTATTGACACGCCCGGACGTGTTAACAAGGAGCTATTGCCACTCCCTCGGCGTGTCAACAAGGAGCTATTGCCACTCCCGGGAGTGTCAATTACGAAAACAATTATTTGATATGTCAAGTAAGTGAATGTTTTTTTATGATATATAGAAGAATAGATAATCTTGTTGAAATCAGGCGTAGGTCTGTGAAGGGATAATGCCCCGTCTCTGGCACTAATGCCAACTAGTAACACCTAGAAAAGTAATTTGATTGCTTAATGTTGCTTAAAATTTTAATATTTGTTTTTACAGAAATAGATATGAAAGAAAATCCAAGGTAAAAGAAAAATATTATTTACACTTATACTCAGTTAGTCTGAGAAAATGGATAAAACTACTTGCTAGGAACCTCAAGGAAAAGTTTGAAAAGATTTCTTCATCTTACGGGTGCGTACGTATGTACAAATTTGTCTGTTTCATAGGAAGTGTGTGTATAGTGGGGAGAGGCAGTATGAGAGTGAGTTCACCTACAATATCCTGTTCCCCATCCGAACGAGTTTTTTGATTGTTCTAAGTCTTAAAAATAATAATAAGTAATGGAAATAAGTAATAAGTGCTAGTGATCGTTAATGATGATTAATAGTAGATGTTGGAGATCTAAATAAAACAATTTATTAGTGTACAGCAGACTGCGCT